TTTTCAAAGACTTTTTTATTTATTTGAAAGGCAGAATTACAGAGTGGCAGATGCAGAGAGAGAGAGAGAGAGAGAGAGAGAGATCATCTATCTGCTGGTTCACTCCCCAGATGGCCACAATGACCAGAGCTGGGCTGAGCTGAAGTCAGGAGCCAATAGATTCTTCTGAATTTCCCATGTGGGTGCAGGAACCCAAGCACTTGGGCCATCTTCTACTGCTTTCCCTGGCTATAGCAGTGAGCTTCATCAGAAGTGGAGCAGCCAGGACTCAAAGTCATACCCATATGGAATGCCGGCACTGCAGGCAGCAGCTTTACCCACTATGCCATAGCATGGCCCCAAAAACTTCTTTTCAAAATGCTGTTTAACAGCACTCTGGCCTCAGAATCAGCAGTTAAGGCATGCGGATCCGGCTGAAAAGCCCAAGAGAGTATTTCAGGCATGGAAAGCCAAGACACTCTGGCAAAATAAATAAATAAATAAATAATAATAAAAAAACCTAAATGAAAGATCTCTGTGAGTGAGATCCCAGTGGAAAGAACAGGTCTTCAAAGAAGGAGGTACCTTTCTCTGAAGGGAGGAGAGAACCTCCACTTTGACTATGACCTTGTCTAAACAAGATAAGAGTCAGAGAACTCAAAAGGCTTCCATAGCCTTGGAAACTCATGACTGGTGCATAGGGAGATTACTGATGCCATAAACAGGAGTGTCAATTGGTAAAGTCAACAACAGGAGTCACTGTGCACTTACTCCTCATGTAGGATCTCTGTCCTTAATTTGCTGTACATTGAGATTTAATGCTATAATGAGTACTCAAACAATATATTTCACTTTGTGTTTCTATGGGGGTGCAAACTGTTGAAATCTTTACTTAATGCATACTAAACTGATCTTCTGTAAAAAAAAATTATCAATTCCCAACTTGACTCTCACTGGGATTAAACATGACAATAGGTCTGATCTGATTTCATCATCATTTAAAGAAAATCATCTATTATTTTTCACTTTATGTTTCTGTGTGGGAGCAAACTGTTGAAATCCATACTTAATGTATACTAAGCTGATCTTCTGTATATTAAGATAATCGAAAATGAATCTTGATGTGAATGGAAGGGGAGAGGGAGTGGGAAAGGGGAGGGTTGCGGGTGGGAGAGACGATATGGGGGGGGAAGCCATTGTAATCCATAAGTCGTACTTTGGAAATTTATATTCATTAAATAAAAGTTAAAAAAAAACACTAAAAAAAAGTAAAAATAATCTCCTGCATAGTTTGACAGAATGCACATTTGAGAATTTCACTGAAGGCCAAGAGAAACCACAACCCATGGGTAAATCATGTCAGGTTAGCAGCTCTGTGTGGTCAGATAGTCACCTTATAGTTCACGCAGTGATCTGTACCAGTGCTTACTAGGACTCTTATCAGGATCCAGGATTGCCTTTCCCTTTCAGACTTTGTTTGACATCCTTAGGTATAGTTTAGAGATTGAACTTGAATAAGCTCCTGTGAGCAACCCCTGCATGGGGTCATGGGACATGGGTGAACCACTAGAGAGATATGGCTGTCCCTTTAAGCATGTGAACAGCCACACTTGTGGTTTTTATAGGAACTTGCTGTCTATGACCAGCACAGTGTCCTCTCCCTGCCATATCCCCTTTTATGCAAGGACCCCTACCCTCAATGGAGGAGAGCAAGCAGAGTGTGGGACCGCTGCCCTTGGGAAGTCATATATGCATGCACATTTAAGCCATTTGTGCATCTAAAATGCAAGAGGAGGGATGGTGAGGAAAGATTGATTCTCTCTAGCTTGAACCCTATAGAGAAGGCACCATTAGTGACCAGTGCCATGTCTGAAGAGGACAAGTTAAAACCCAAGTCAGCAGCATTAGAGATTCAGAAGGATGAGGCTGCCATGTAAGCCTGGGATCACAACCTGTATCATGGAGGCTGAGGTCCAATATAGGTTCATAGGGCAGAAGATAACATGTTTCAGAAGAATTAAGAACAGGCATCTAGCTGGGAGGAACTTAGTAAAGTTGGCTTGATATTGACACAAACTTGAGGCCTCCCACCCAGAGCAGAGCAGGCCCAGCCCCCTACTCCTTGTATATGACAAATCCTGCTGGAAATGGCCAGAGGAAGGCAGTCCGACTCTTTAGAAAGTGACTTTTGCACCCACGGTAGCATTGTAGAATGATGACTCCTACTAACCTCCAATATACTATTTCTTAATGTACACATTACGATGTGATAGCTAATATACTTTATTGAGGCAGCAGATGGGGTCACTAAGACTAAAATAATGTTTGTAGAAGAAAATTATTGGCTGCCAGTATTTAAACATCTGGATGGTGGCAGATATTTGGCTAGTCCTCTTGGCATCCCTGTATCCCATATGGTAGGGGTGGTGAAGGTCTGGCCCACGGGCCAAATAAGACCTGCAAAATCATTGGTTCTGGCCCTGCTGAGGCAACCAGAATTGGGACTTGAAAGTCAATAAATCTGTGATAGGCATTGTTGCATAGCAGTTTATGGTACCTCCTGTGGTGCCTGCATCCCATATGCCTGTAGGTCCATGTTCTAGATACTCCAGTTCAGATCCAGCTCCCTGCTATTGTGCCTGGGAAAGCAGCGGAAGATAGCCCAAGTGCTTGGACCCCTGCATTCATATGGGAGACCTAGATGCAGTGCCTGGCTCCTGGATTTGGCCAGGTCCAGCCATGTCTGTTTTGGCTATTTTGGGAGTGAACCAGCACATGGAAAGCCCTCCTCTCCCCCTCTCCTCTTTTTCCTTCTCCCACTCATTCTGTAACTCTGCCTTTCAAATAA